GGGCCGACAGGATGAAGCCGTTGTGGGTGTTGTGGCTATCGCCACTCGTGTTCGTCGTCAGCTTGTTCCTGTTCGGGCAATCCCTGGCGCGATGACCGAACTGACGGCACAGGATGCACTTCATCTTGGCCATGTCACGGCCTGACTCGAATCGCGCACGACGATCGGCTTGACCCCGTCCACGCCCCTTGCCAGGAGGTCGCGGTCGGCTCTCGCGATGAGGCCGAGGGGGCGGTGCCGCCCGCTGGTCCGTCAACTCGCTATTGGGCACCACCACTTGGTTGAAGTCCCGAGCCACACGTACTTGTCGAAGTAAAGCTCGAGCGCCCTTGAAGCTCCGTCCTGCCTGTCGAAACTGGGCGTGCACCTCGTTGTCCGCCCCCTGGGCAGCAGCTTCTTCTTCTTCTTCTTCTTCTTCTGAGTCCTCGTCTTCCGCGATGTTGATCAGCTGCTCGACCATCTCGCACAGGTCTTCTTGATCACCACCAGTCTCGCAGTCGTCCTCGTTGGCGAAGTTATCGTACAGGGCCTCCTCGCGCTTCGTCTTGCCGTCCAGCTCGGCCAGCGCGTCCGCCGGGAAGCGCGTCGGGAGCGTCCGGTAGGTCCTCGCAAAATCGAAGTCGCCTCCCGCGGTCGCCGCGCTACGACTTCCGAAGGAACCACCATGTACGAAGCGGCTTCGCGATCACCTCCCAAACGCCCCCGTCGATGGCCTGCAGCTGCGTGAGCAGCTCGCGTTCCTTCTTCTCGAACCGCGCCGCCCAGTCCTGGAACGCCCCCCCCGCGTTCCGAGATGTCTCCATGAAGAACTCCTCTGCCAGCGGGCCCGTGTCGCTCAGGCTCGCGTAGTCCAGCTTGTCCAACACGTACTCGAACACAGTGTTCCAGCCCGTGAGGCGGCCGTCTTCGTCCACTGTGTCCACCAGGTCGATCTTCGGGCAGCTCTCCACGGCGCCCCTCGCGCGCGGTCCGAGCGCTCGGACCAGCTGTGGTCCGCAGACGTAGCGGTCGGCCACGCGCACGCTCTTCACGAACATGGACACCTCGAAGCGGTAGCTGGAGAGCTCGTCGGCCCCCCCGCCCCACGTCGGCACCTCCACCCTGGAGGTCGTAGAGGCCGCGCCGCTCGACGCCATGGCGGCGAGACAGGTGGAAGCCCGCGGCGGAAACCGCAGGCCCCGCTACCAATCTGAATCCCAAGGAGCCCGAAAGGGAGCCCCCGACTAGGAAGTGCCGGGCCTCGGGCTCCTCCAACACAGGATCGTCAATATGTCAAGAATATAGACGCTTGACTGTCAGAACACACTCAGTGAAATGAAGAGGGCACCCGCTGCCCTCGCAATATTTCCCGGCACGTCTCCAGAGCGCGCCACTGCCTGCGAACTCGCAGGTTCATCCAGGAAGGAATCCCGCCCGCCCTCGCCTGATCCGAGGTGGCGGCGGCACGCTGCAATGATAACGGTAGCAGCGAGCGAGAATGAAACGCATGAAACAGACTCGGCCCAACTGCTAGCAACATGAAATACCCCTATCACATTCAGACCCCCCCCCCCCCCCCCCCCTTCCCTCATCCGCCCAATTCTCTCGTCGCCTGAACGCCATGCGGCCCCAATGAACACGCCCCCCCCCCCCCCCCCCCCCCCCCGCCCGTGAAATTCACCGGGGCCCGATGAGATCATATAATTCCATTCCGCGGCAACCCTCCGGGCCGCGCAGCCGCGCGCGGCAAGATCTCGATCGAACGGGGGCCGAGAACGGCCAGAAAACCAACTTGAAGCTAAACTACATCAACAGTCAGATTGGCTGCAACCTGTCCCCGCGAAACGCTGGCGAGAGCAAGGCCGCCCCATTCCCTGCGCTAGTGCACGGGCGAGAAGGTCAGCGCGCGGTGGAAGAAGGCTAGCGGAGACTGCAACATTTGCAGAATCCGACTGCAGAGGAAGAGACATGCATCTATCATCTATCATGCCCCACCGGCAGCAGAAGGCGGGGGGCAGCTCCGCCTCGGCCCTCCGCGCGCCAGGAACATGCCCAGAGAGGGGGGGAATAGGGGGTGCCCCGCCCAACAAGAATGAGGGGCCCTCGTCTACGCGGGCAATGCCTTCGCCGTGCCTCTAGGTCCATGCACTGTAGATGGGCAGCGATGCCGCCGTGCCCACCGTCCGAATTGCCCCGAAACGCTCGTTCCCACGTTGCCCCCATCGCCCCTCGCGCCCCCGCCCCCGCCCGTCTCCCGCCGCCAGCTCAGCCCCCAGCGCCTGCGCGCCGAGGCGCGCGCGTGGGGAAATTCAGCCGGCCCCCCCGATCGGGGTGGGAGCTGGACGGGCGGGCGTTCTGAGCATCGGTTGGCTCCGCGTTGCGCGCAATCGCTGTCTCTGGACCCGGGGCACCTTCGCCTGGAAGCCTCGGCGGAGGCCGCAACGCGGGCCCCCGACGCAACCCGCGCGGTCGCCACTTTCCCCCGAGCGCCCTCCGCTAAAACCCCCCGCAACTTGCTTGCGCGACCCCGGGCCGGCGGCCCAGAGGCGGAGCCGCGCAGATGCCCGGGCCGAAGCTCCATGCACCGCGAGGCGAGGGAAGGCGCCAGCGAAAGTCTGGAGACGAATCACAGAAGCTTGCGGGCACGCCTCCTTGGGTGCCCATTCAGAGCTGCGAGGAACCTGGAACTTGACGGCGCTTATCGCCTCGGCAGCGAGCGCGCTCTTACCAGACTGGAAGAGCTTCTGCATTAAGAGCCGGTCGGAGATCGGCGCCCCCCTCTCTGGCGGCGCCAAAGCCTGGGCCCAATCGCCGCCGAAGCCCTCCGCGAAGAACTCCCGCTCCGGCTTTAACCTCCCAAACCTAAGCGCGCGGGGGTCGTCGTCGGCGGGGGCTGCTCTGCGTGAAGCGCGGCCTCGGGGCCCTCTTCGTCCGCGTCCTCGTGGATTCCCATTGCCGCGACATCGCCCCCTGCGTCGTCGCCCGCGAGGCGAGCGACGACGACGACCACGATGACGACGACGACGGCGACGACGAACGTCGCGCTGCGGACACACCCTGGGGCGGGGGCGGGCGCTGCGTGGGCCCACCGAAGCAACGACGCGACGACGACGACGACGACGACGACGACGACGGCCACGACGACGAACGTCGACGAACGCCGCGCTGCGGATGCACCGTAGGGAGGCGCGGGGGCGCTGCGCGGGCCCGCCGCAGCAACGACGCGACGACGACGAAGACGACGACGACGACGACGACGACGACGACGACGACGACGACGACGACCGACGACCGAGGACTGAGGACTGAGGACTGACGACGACGACGACGACGAACGACGACGAGCTGACCAGCTGTTGGTACTGGATACACACAAGGGAGGACCTGAGATGGGAGGTAAGAGGAAGCTGGAGGAATTGGGATTAGGCGGGGGGTGGCATGGGGGGGCGGGGGAGGACGGGGGGGGAAGGCGGGAGGGTGTGGGAGGAGGCGGGAGGAGGAGGAGGAGGAGGAGGAGGAGGAGGAGGAGGAGGAAAAGGAGGAGGAGGAGGAGGAGGAGGGGGAGGAAAAAGAAAGGGGAAAATAGCAGGTAGCACGAGGTAGGAGGAAATGGGAGGACGTGGGAAAGGGTGGAAGGCCGTCGGAAGATTCGGGGAGGGGATGTTGGAAAAGGGGGGAGGGGGAACACATTCAAACGCACAACACGCAGCGCGTGCGCGCCCGCGTCAGCCGCCAGGCCGCCAGGGCCACAGGATTCAGAACCACAGCCGTGCCCGCGCGGCAAAGGCGCGATAGAATGCCTGCGAGTTGTCTTGTACGTGTTTCTGTGAACTTTCTCTGGGCCGCCCCTTTCCTCGCGCTGGGTTGCATACGCCGCGCCCTCTTCCCAAAGCCCCGTCGGCGCCGAGACATGCCCCTGGCGGCCTCCGAGGAGTCCAAGATGGCGGCCAACATGGCCCGAGCAGGCCAAGAGGGCCGCCGAGATGGCCCAATGCCGATTCAAGGCGGCCCAAGATGAAAGACGACCATAGATGGCCTCAAAACGGCCCAAGCGGTTTCCAAAACGGCCCGAAACGGTTCCAAGAGAGCGTCCAGGAAAGAATTCTCCAGGATGGAAGGTTGGAGGAATCCCCCAAAAAACGACAGAATGCGTCAGGACCCTGGGATTCCTGGGGGGTCCTGGGAAACACGGGGGGTATGCCTCCAACTTGGGGGTACGGCCGCAATCTGACAATATTATGATTCCGAGCGCCTGCGGCGGAGTTTGGAGGGATGGAGGGTCGAAATTTAACTTGAAGGATATTCCCAATAATATCTGCGAAACACATTCAAACGAGACCGGTCCATTCACGCGAGCGCCGACGGCTTAAGTTTCACGGATTGAAAGCGGGTGGTTTTCAAAATGTGGCTCTGGCCTTAGCGCCGCGCACATTCGTTGTAAAACATGCAAGAGTTTCACTGATTGAACCGGTTCCTTTCCAAAATGTGGTTCTCGCGTGAGCGTCGCGCGCATTCTCTTATATAATTCACAAGAGTTTCACGTATTCCCATCATCAACGTACCAGGAGCTGTGTTTGTAAGGATTCAGGATTACGTGGGTGCATCAGTTACGTTGGTTCGATGTGTTGTTAAGTCCCAGGGGTGGTGTTCTGGCACGATCAAGATCGTCAAGACGTAACACACAGGTTGATCCGTGGCGTTAAATCCCGAGAACAATGTTTTGGCATGCTTCAGGGTCTTCAAACGTTTGTCTTCCAACGAGGCAGTTCCTTCAGTGTAGATGAACCGTTGTAGGGGCCTACGAAGAGGAAGCTTGGAAGGAGGGTTTATTCAAATCGTTGATGCCTATTGGGTTTACACTGGTCCTCCTCCTCCTCCTCCTCCTCCTCAGCCTTCTCCTACGTAAGCCTCATTCCTGCCTCCTCTCCCCCCCCCGGGCGCCCGCGGTCGACGGCTGCGGCGGAGGGGGGCACGGGGCCGAGGCGGTGGAGAGAGAGAGAGAGAGCGAAGGCGGCGGGGGCCTCCTGCTGCCCTGCTCTGCGGTCCTGGGGCAGATCCACGTCCACCGCCAGTGGAAACGAACTGGGACCCCAGCGGGCGGTGGACATAAGCATGTGTTGGCCCCAGGGGGGCCTCGAGGATATATCCACATCCACCGCCTGCCGAGGTCCCCTGGCATCGATTCCCCGGGCGGTGGCTGTGGACAAATCCCCACCTCGGAACATCGTCCTCCTCCCTCTGCTGTCTCCCTTCTCCCCCCTCACGCCCCCCTTGGAAGAAGAAGGCACATATCAATCAACCAATCGATCAATGAATGAGTGACGACGAGGTTACTGCCAGCACGGCGCGGTACGATCGCACGAACGTCATCTGAGGCGTGCCACCTGCCAACGCTTGCTGGGCTGAGTAAGTATGGAATTGACCTCTCCGTCACCCTCCTCCCTCGCCCTCTTCGCTTCTCTTCCCCCCCCCCCTCAGCCCTGCCCCTCAGCCTCAGCTCCTGAGAGAACCCAGAGCGCGAAATCTCGGGTGGCGGCGGCGGGACCCGTCCTGTCCCTTCCGGAACAGCAGGTTGAGCCTGGCTGGATCTGGAGCTGAGGAAGAGGAGAAGAGGATAGAAAAGAGAGAGAGAGAGAGAGAGAAAAAAAAAAAAAGAGAGAGAGAGAGAGAGAGAAGTGGTCCAAGCAATCCCCGGGTGCACTGTCCCGTTCTCCCCTCTTCCTCCTCCAACCTGGCAACATGTTTCGACTCCGTTCGGTTGTGGCTCCTCCTGATCCTGTTTACGCTGGCCGAACGTATGAACGACCAGGCTGTTGCGCACTTTCCAGTACCGCTGCGCCCGCGTGGCGCGAGAAGAAATGAGAGATGCCGGCTCAGGCCGATAGGCCAACACACTAGGCCTGGCAGGCGTAGCAACATACTGTGAGGCATCTTAGGCCCTCTTGGGCGCCTTTTGGGGCCTCTGACGGTCTCCGGGGCAGAAGGCTCGGATTGTCGGTTTGTATTCCTTCTCTTGGGCCCTTTTTGGGGCCGTCTTGAGGCCCTCGTGGGCCGTCATGGGCGCCTCTTGTGCCGTCTTGGCGGGCTCCTCGGCCGTCTTGGTGAATTCTCGGAGGCCCCCTGGGCCTCTTCTTCAAGATCGAGTCCTCACTTCACCGCCGCGCGCACGTCTCTGAGCCGCCGCCTGGTGCACAGGCGGAGGGCGCGACGCCCCTCTCAGTCGTTTTGCGATGCGCAACGGCGCGCGGTCGAACCGATTCGCATCCCCACCGCATCTGTTCGTATCGATTCGCAAGAGCAAGCAAGACGGCGCGGGAGGTTCCCACGGAGCTGCAACAGAAAACGCCGCCCGTGGCGCGCTCCGCGTGCCGGCGCCGGCCCCCAGGAATCCCGGCAGACCTGGCAAAAACGTCCTCGTGTTTGTTCCTCCTCCTCCTCCTCGTCCTCCTTCTCCTCCTCCTGTTGCTCATGTTCCTCCTCCTGCTCCTCCTCCTCCTCCTCCTTCTCCTCCTCCTCCTCCTCCTCTTGTTCCTCCTCCTCCTCCTCTTCCTCCTCCTCCTCCTCCTCCTCCTCCTCCTCCCCTCTGGACCAAATGGCAAGTGAATATCGCCGCCACTCCCAAGGGGAAACCAGTGCGAGGCGACGGGGAAGCGAGGGGCCCCACCGCCAGAGCCCCGCAGGGGCCCGACGCGACAGGAGCCGAGCCTGGCAGGGCGACGACGGAACCGGGGGAGTGAAACGAGCCGAATCCGGCATTCGCACTGTCCAGCTAGGCGGCCTCCCCTCACACCTCGTCGGTCTCGCGCAGACGCCGCCGCCTGCTGAGCTATCCGGGAGGACTTCTGGCCTCTGGGTCGCGCCACGCGGCCGCGGTCGCCCAGGTACCACCCAGATGCACGAGCTTCACGAATCCGAGCGTGGAGACTTGACCAACGAAGGTCTGGAACATGCGATGTACAAGTGGAACGCAAGTCAAGGCTCTCACAATGGATCTGGCGGCGAGCAAAACAATGGCGAAGTAGCAGCTCGAAAGATACAGCGGCCTCGCATTTGAATCGCGGAGCCTGGCTGACACAACGTCGACGGAAGACGTCCATGGCATCGGCGAGAATAACGTACTCATCGAAGGCCTCCACTGCTGGCTGCTTCTCGCACTGTGGTTGATGAAGCTCGGCTGCCTCTCGCACTGTAGCTAGCGACGCCTCCTCGCGCGAAGCCCACTGCCACAGTCGTCCGTTCTCGCACGAACTGGCCCCAGCACTGTAGCTGAAGACAGCTGGCTGGGTCAAGGCCTCCACATCTGCCTTCTTTTCGCGCTGTGGCTGATGCCGTCTGGCTCCTTTTCGCCCCGTGGCTGACGACGCATTCTCGCACATAGCCCGCTGCCACTGCTGTCCGTTCTCGCACGAGCAGGCCCCAGTACTGTAGCTGATGACGTCTGGCTAAATTGAGGCCTCTACTTCTGACGGCTTCTCGCGCTGCAGCCGATGCCGCCTGGCTGCATCCCGCTTCGTGATTGATGGCGCCTTCTCGCGTGCAGCCTGCTGCCACGGCCTTCCGTTCCCGCTCGAGCTGGCCCCAGTGCTGTAGCTGATGACGTCTGGCTGCGTCGAAGTCACTACTGTCCTGGCTTCTTCTCGCGCTGTAGCTGATGACGCCGAGCTGCCTCTCGCACGATGGCTGATGACGCCTCCTCGAACGCATACTGCTGCCACTGCTGTCTGTTATCGCACGAGCTGTCCCCAGTACAATAGCTGATGGCGTCTGGCCGCATCGAGGTCTCAACGTCTGGCTGCCTCTCGCGCTCTAGCTGATGACGTCTGGTTGCTTCTCGCTTTGTCGTTGGTGACACCTTCTCGCGCGAAGCCTGCTGCCACTGCCGTTCTTTCTCACACGAGCTGGCCCCAGTGTTGTAGCTGATGACGTATGGCTGCATTGAGGCCTCCACTTATGTCTGCTTCTCGCGCTGTAGCTGATGACGTCCGGCTGCTTCTGGCTCTGTGGCTGGTGATGCAGTCTCGCGCGAAGCTTGCTGCCACTGCCGTCCGTTCTCGCCCGAGCTGGCCCCAGTACTGTAGCCAATGACGTATGGCTGCACCGAAGCCTCGACTTCCAACTGCCTCTCGCGATTTAGCTGATGACGTCTGGTTGCTTCTTGCACTGTAGCTGATGACGCCTTCTCGCACGCAGCCTGCTGCCACTTCTGCCCGTTATCGCACGTCCTTCTTCCGGAGCTGAAGATGATGGCGTTGGTTAGGATTTCTCACACTTTCTGGTGCCACTGCTGCCCTTTCTCGAATGCGCCTGTCCCGGCACTGTAGCAGGTGGTGTTGGTTGATGCAACAACTCCCAATCCCTGCTGCCACCGCCGCCCACTCTCGCACATGCTCGCCGCAGCATTGTAGCTGATGACGCTCATCGTCTGCTTGGAGGGTTGACGCCGAGCCTTGTCTGACGCTACCTTTGCCTAGCGTGCCTTCGCCACTGCTTGAGGGTGCAACTGGACACCTCGGGCCGCGGTAAAAGCCTCACCAAAATTGTGTTTACGAACGCTGTTCCATACGTCCAACGACTCGTGTGCCAACTTCCCGCGAATGAGCGCCTTGAGTTCAATTACGAGGTGCGTCGGTCTCGACGAAGGAATGGTCTGGCTTTGAGTGTGAGGTCCAATATACGTTGTCCTTCCATCTATGCCTGACTGTCCCGAACAAGACCGTCGCCCAGGCATCGCACTCCACGAGGGCACGCACCGCCACCAAGAGTCCTACCTCAGCTCAAAAATCAACATCCCAGACAGCGCGTCGGACGTCGGGGGCCAGCCAGTTTGATGGGAGGAGAACGCTTGAGCCAAAATGGCTACGGATCTCCTCCTCCTCATCCTCCCCCTCCTCCTTCTCCTCCTCCTCATCCTCCTCCCCGTAAGAGGCGGCCTGCCGCAGGAGGAGGAGCAGGAAAGCCCATCTATCTCTCTCTCTCTCTCTCTATTTCTCTCTCTCTCTCTCTCTCTCTTTTTCTCTCTCTCTCTCTCTCTCTCTCTCTCTCTCTCTCTTCCAAAGGCCCAAAAACGGTCCCAAGAGGCCTCAAAACTGCCTCCAAGAGGCCCCCGAGAGGCCTCCCACGAGATCCCAACGAATATCCAATAGGCTCAATACCACAATCCAGACACGGTGGCGGGACTTGCCGTAGGCAGCTGGATCCGCCGCCCCCTGTTGATTCATCACAGGGGTGCCTGGCGTGCTGAACTTCTTATGGTTTTGGTTTTGGTTATTTTCCAAAAGAACTCTCCCAGTGGGCTCCGGCGCGTCCCGCCGGGGTCCGGGAGGATGCCGAAAGATCTTCCAGAGGTGGTGGCAAAGGGTTTTTCCGTTCCAGACCGCTCCAAGATGGCCCAAGATGGCCTCCAGGATGCCTCCAAGACGGCCAAGATGCCCTCCGAGACGGCTAAGATGGCCCCAAGGTGCCTCCAAGACGGTCCAAGAGGCACCCAAGAAGGCCTAAGATAGCCTCAAGATGGCCCAAAACGGCCCAAGAGGCCCTCAAGAGGCCTCCAAGACGGCCCAAGAGGCCTCCAAGAGGTCCTCCAGGAAGGCCCGAAGAGGCAAACATCGTTGATTTCCGTTGGGTGTTTGAAAGATGTTGGCATTTGCGCCTTTTCAGCTTTCCGACGGCCCAAGACGGCCCAAGCGGCCCCCAAGATCGCCCAAGACGGCCCAAGAGGCTCCCACGAAGGCCCCAAAGAGGCCTCCAAGACGCCCACGATGGCCTCCAACACGCCCGCGATGGCCTCCAAGACGGCCCCGAAGTGCCCCAAGAGGGCCCCAAGTCGGCACAGAAAGGCCCCCAAGACGGCTCCCGACGGCGTCAGACGTGCCAGGAACCCACCAAGATGGCCGAAACTGACTCGAAGCTGGCCCAAGACGGCCCAAGAGGCCCAAAAGGGGGCCTCCAGGAAGGCCAGAAGAGGCCGAAAAATTTGACTTTCGTTGACGGAGTTTGACATGTGCTTCTTTTCGGCCTTCCGACGGCCCGAGACGGCCCAAGAGCCCCCAAAGATCGCCGAAAGATCGCCCAAGAGGCCTCCAAGATGGCCCCAGAACGGCCCAAGAGGGCCATTCCAAGAGGGCCCCAAGTCGGCCCATAGAGGCCCCCCAAACGGCTTCCGACGGCGTCAGACGGACCGGGAGCCCACCAAGACGGCCGAACATGGCCCTAAGATGGCCCAAGACGGCCCAAGAGGCCTCCAAGAGGGCCTCCAGGAAGGCCCGAAAAGGCCAAAATCATTGATTTCCCATTGGTGTTTGAAGGATGGTGGCATTTGCTTTTTTTCGGCCTTCCGACGGCCCGAGACGGCCCAAGTGCCCCCAAAGATCGCCCACGAGGCCCCAGACACGGCCCCAAGAGGCCCCCAAGACGGCCCAAGAGGTCTCCAAGATGCTCAAGATGGCCTCCAAGACGGCCCCCGAGCCCTCCAAGACGTCCTCCAAGAAGGCCCGAAAGGGTCAAAATGGCTTCCAGACGGCCAAGATGACCTTCAAGATGCCCACGTGTTCCCCGAAGGCTTTCCAAACCGATTCGGGGAACATATGGTCCGATAGCTTGGCAGGTCTGGCCTCAACGTTCGGCCACATAGGCGCTTCCAAAAAGGCAGGGAGCGGCGGTGATTCGCCGTAGGCGTCTTCGATAAGCTAAACTCTACCCCCACCCTCCCGACCGAAGCCGACATAAGCCCCACAAATTGCGTATTGAGGTTACGTCACAACTGTTTTCCACGATAGCTCATCCGGAATATCGAACGACATCATGCTCAACAGGCATCGACCCCACCCACCGCCATCTCCTCCAAAAAACATTAAGCGGTGCACAGACGTTGATCTAACGAGGTCTTCTTGAAATAACCCTTTGGCACAGAAAAACGATACGGGGCCCATGCGCGCGCCTCCACGCGCGTGTCAAAATCACTCAGACACCAAGAATAGATGCGATCACGTTCAGGCCAACACTATTGAAAAACAAAAAACAGCTCGGCCCTCCAACAAAGCAATGCCATAATCCTGCTCTTCCCACTACCCCATCTGTTCCTGAGTTCCTCCTGTTGAACTTTACTCCTTGTCACTACACATGATTGTCCTCCTCAACCTTCTGAAGAGGGCGCTGGCATAGATGGGCATACGACAAGACGTGGTGTTGCAGAATATCTTGGATACGGGGCATGCGCTGGAGAAACCAATGTACCGAGGACTGCGGGGGCCGAAACCAGCTGCATGCAGCAGATTTCGCAACTCCCCCTCTCGTCCACCCCGACCCAGGCAGGCCATGGCAGCGAGCTGCCAGGCATTGGCTTCTATACCCCCGCAGATGCATTCTTCAGCAGCTCGCAACTGCCGCGCCAGCCACTGCCGTTCTGGGACCGCCTCCGATATGCGCCTTGACCTTGAACTTGATCCCCCATCCCCCTCCCTCTGATCCTCCTGCTTTCTGCTCTTGCCCTCTCTGAGGAGGCAATTCCTGGGAGGTTCATGCAAGAAGATTAAACGCTACCAAGCCCGATTGAACCTGATCAAGCAGGATTGAGGATGACAACCACAAATATGCCAGTGTCGATACCGAATTCGACCTCCTAGGAGCTGCATTCTTGGCGGCCTCATAAATGAGGTCCGAATAGTTTGGGTCGGAGAAGCGCGTCGCATCGCCAATGCATTGCCCACGCATCGGCGATGCATCGGATATGCATCGGAGACGCTGGCGATGCATCGGGGCCATCGGCGTGGAGAAACTCTGGCTCCACATCGAACCGCATCACCGATGCATCGGGGATGCGGAACAACCCTTCGACACCACTTGGGAGGCCCAGAATTCTAACATATCCATCCATCGCGTCCCTGCAGCAGGCAAAAGCAAGCTGTGAGTCAAGCGGGTCACATGATTGTCAACCCCCTCTCGTCCAGGAAGGTCTTCCGGGTAGACTCCCTGCGCGCGACTCAAGTGGGAGAAAAGGAGGAGGCGCGCCCTATGGACAAGCCTGGGGGTGCGACAGGGTGAAGTTATAAGGAGAAGGGAGGAGGATAAGGAGGATGAGTATATAAGTATGAGGATGACCATGTGATCAAGTCAGCGCATGCCAACCAACGTGGAACACATGCCTTCACACTTACACTTTACCGCACGGTCGCGTCCAGGATGCACTTAAAAACCTTGGGCCAAAGACCTCGCGAGATCCTGCTGAGGTATTCTGCACGGGCGGAAAAATCCTCCTTGCCCGGATCTCGGAACACGGAACAGGCAAAAGAACCACATAACTTACAATGCAGAAGCTTGGCCTGAGTAGAGTATTGCATAGCATGGGATTGATCCAATCCCCCTGTGCAACCTAGGGTTATACGAGATAGATCCGTCGCAGCTGTGAGGCTGAAAGCATGGGCTATTGAGCCAGACGGTGGTCGTGCCTTTGGACGCTGAAACCCGGCACCGCGGACAAGACCTCCCCGAGTCGTCCAGGCAGAGGGAGGACGAGAAGAGGGAGAGCGAGGCAGCAGCAGGAGGGCAGTTCCGTTTCACAAGCTTGGCCCTTTTAGCAGCACTTGTATCAAGCGAAGCACGGAGCAAAGGCAATCGAACTGAGAAAGCACAGCGTTCGTGAATTAAGAACGTATGTCTTCCCGAAAGGGGCTGGCAAGCTTGGCCAGCAGCCATACTAGCGACAACATCCGCTATGTGATTACGTGTGATGAGCCAAAGCTGGGACCTTCTCTCAACAATGGCATGCTCATCCTGATGACAGTGCGCAGAAGGGGCAGAGAACACTCGTGGGTCCCAAAGATGCTGCTGAAAAACTGCCCCTAAGGACGCCCAAAGAATCGCCATCCCCCCCCTCGGGAGGCAGCCACCACATGTTATTATACGACCTGTGAAAGCTTCGCAGACCGAAACGTAAGTGATGGCGCCAAGGGTCGCCCAACTGGCTAACACAGGGCGCGAAATTCGCCCCTGGGCACAGCCTGGCTGGATCCTGCGTGGGCCCCATGGATAGCGACTTGGATGTCCACGACGGGTTCCAGGGACCCAAACAACAAAGCACTCAGAGCAACCCTGCGGATCTTCTCACTGGCGGCGTCATTGCCTCCAGATGATGCGCCCCCAAACAGGATGACTCTCAACCAAAACGCGGGCTCCATCTCAGACTGGGCCAATGCTGGCCCGAGAAGCTCGTCGGATTTTTTGTCGACCGGGTTGACTGTGTTTGCCTCGCACGTTCACCCTTGACGCAGCATGGCCTCGCGGTGCATCTTGCATCGGCTGCAGAAGCTGGAACCTGTGAATTGACGAATCCCCGGCTGTTTCCTCACTCGTGTCCACGATCCTGCAACCGCACACGTGAGCAGAGCTGGCGCCAGGCGATGACCTATGAGCGATACTTCCTCGAGCTGCTTCAACATGACAAGATAAGACCGGCAGCGGGCCTGGCCGTTCTCCAGGAACAAGATGCAATCACACCAGCAGAACCACGCAAGAAAACACTATCCGAGCCGAGGGTTTCCATTCCAATCGTCAGCCGCTGCATGATGAGGCTTCGGGGTCGCCCATGCCGCGGCCTCGTCAACTTGCCATACAGCCTCAATCAAGTGCAAGAACACCGCTGTCACGGGCGCTCGAACAAGCTTGGACGATTGGGCCCCGTGGGGGATGCCAGGAATGCCAACATTCCTCTGTCATGTAATCTCCGTCGTTTGCCTTTACCTGTACCTCGACCCTTGCCCTTTGACCTAACCGCCCGGCGGACCGCGCGTCGTCCCCAGCCCCCAGGAGGTGCAAGGCCCTTTGTGCAGCTCTCGGGCGTCGTCAGGTCGTCGCGCGGCGGTGGGAGCAGTCTTTGGAGAGCGCTGGCTTCTGGGGTGACGCTGGGCACGCGTGCGACTGGTCTGGGCCGGCGCGCAACGTCCTACAGCGCTTCGCGCGCTTGAAGGGATTCTCGGCAGCCAGCGGTTTATTCGATCTCTCTCAATGCTACGAATATATTTCCCATGGGGAGCTGAGGCAGGATGCCATCAACACAGGCTTCCCTTTGGCTCTCCTGAAAGGTCTCTGCGCGGCGTATAGGCTTCCTCGACGTGCAGTCTGGCAGGGGGCAGTCTCGTCGGCAGTTTCAGCGAATGGCACTGTAGCGGCTGGATGCCGCTGCGCTCTTGCACTGGCTAAACTGCTAGCGCGCACCCACCGAGTCAAGCTTCAGAAGATGCTTCCCGCGGTTCGGTTTCACAACCTCGCGGGCGATCTTTTGCTCCAGGCGCTCGGCGCCGCTGAGCAGGTCCTTGCTCAGTTCCCCGAGGCCATGATGGCCTTGGTCCGAGGGCTCCAGGGCGAACAGCTCCGCTTGAATTGGGACAAGACTGGCTACCTTGCTTCTTCAGGGAAGCTAGCAGCCCAGTTCAACGGCAAGTGGGCCCTAGGTGATGACGATCGCCTGAAAGGGTCTCCTACGGCGACGGCGGCGCGGGGGAGTGCGGTCACAAGTCTCTCGGAGCATGAGTTTCACGGGCTGTTAGTGTCGACACTTCGCGCGGAGGGCCGCCTCCCCGCTGGCACCTCGGTAGGCCTCAGGCTTCGCGTGTCTCCCCGAGGCTACCCCAGGGACCCTTGGATTGTTCATGCTGCCGAAATGACTACGCACTGGTCTTTCTCGGCCCTGTCTGAGGTGCCTGGGCGCGGCCTTACGCGGGCTACGTGGCAGGCGGGTAGGAACCTCCTGGGCACAGCCAAGCCTTGGGCTCATTGCATTGACCCTGGGCAAGTTGCGTTGTTTTGCACGGCGCGAATGGGCGTCGCGATGCCGACAGCGCGTTCCTTTCTCTTTCAGGGCATCGCGTACTCGATGCCTGAATACACGCCTGGTATTATTGTTAACGGAGCGCGAGGCTGCAGTGATCGCCTCGGACGTGCTCGCATTAGGCAAGATTGAAGGACGGTGGCGGGGGGCTCTTCACTGGGGCCCTCTCTGTCACCTGCTCTCCAGGAGCGACTCCGAGACTTGGACCAAGCATCACAAAACGCTTTGAGGAGTCTGATGGGAGGGTCGCATTGGCCCCAGGACAGGCTCCACAAGCACGGCAAGGCCCAACACAGGAGGTGTCTGGTCTGCGGAGGGCCTGGCACGCTCTTCCATCTTTTTTACGAGTGCCCTCGCATCGAGGGTGCACCGACGAGACGAGTGCCCGCCACATGTGCGGCAAGCTGCTAAAGTCGTAAACTAAATGTCTCCAAAACTTGTGGACATGTTCGCCAGGTGCTTCTTTCCGTCTCCAGCTCGGTGCGTTCCGATTCCTGCGGCTGGGCCGGAAGACCCGCTCATCTGGATTCAGATTCCTGAGGGCTGGAAAGTCTCTGGCAAAGTGTTTGTGGACGGGAGTGCCTTGTACTCCCGCTTCTCTGGGCTTTCTAGGGCTGGCTGGTCTACCATTCAGATTGACGACAGCGGCAGTCTCGTTGCAGGAGCGTTCGGGGTGGCCCCGCTCAGCTATGCGCCCGAGCAAGTCGCGCGCGACGGCGAGGATAGAGCCTGTCAAGTCCTTGCTGAATATTCGGGGTGGAGCCCCGGAGACCCGCTTACTGTGTTTTCGGACTGTGCTGGCCCCATTGAGTGCGCAACGATTCCAGGCGCGGCTCTCGACCCCTTGAATAGTACAGGGCAATTCTGGCTCCGCTGGTGGGGGGGGGATCGGCCACCATGCGTCTGTCGTGAAAGTGAAGTCTCATCGCTCTCGCTTGTCCGCCACCAGTTTCAAGGATGACTGGCGAATCCTTGGCGATTAGATGGCTGACCGCTGAGCGAAAAATATGTTTTAAAGTTGGTCGGCCCCCCCTCCACAGGCCGCCTGTGTACAGTGGGTCGAGGCCATGGCCCATGGTGTGGCGAGGTTGCATGCGAGGGCCCAACAGTTGTTCGTTCATGGGGTGATGTCGACTCTGAAAGGGTTGTTGGGACCTCGGGTCTCAGCTTCGAGCTTAATTCGGGTGTCTGGGGAGAGCTGGCCAACGCGGCCACGGAGGAGGGCGTTGAACCCTTCGGGGGAGTCCCGGGGTGGTCCCTGTGGGAGGGGCTGCCACGTCTCCCTCGCTCCCGTCGCCCCTGCCGCCGCCGCCCCCTCCTCTGGCCCCTCCAGCTGCTGCTGCTGCCTCAGCCGAGGGTCCAGATCTCCAGGATTGTGTTGGGTTGCCTTGGGCGCTCAACTCACACTCAGTTGTCGAAGCGTCGGTGGCGCCCCCAGCTTCGGGAGCGGCCCCACAACCCGAAGCGCTGTTTTGTAAAATCTGCGGGTCCTCGGTGCACAGGATTGCTCGGTCGGGTGAGGGGCAGGACGGGGTGCGCCGTGGAAGGGGTGCACCAGGCCTGCGGACTTAGCGTTCTCTCCTCCGTCGAGGTCTGATGCCAGGTCGGCTGAAGGCGAGGATCGTGGACGTCCGCGGCCCGTCAGGTGATGACGTGGAGGCCTGGACGGGCCGCTTCCCCTCCCTCGCTGGAGGCGCGGGGCGGCAGGAGGCACGAGGAGGAGAGTTTCAGTCAGATGCTCCTGCGGCCAGTGTTGTCAAGTACGGCACCAATGAGCCGATCCTCGACGATCGTTTGGTCGCCCAGTTGCATGGTTTTGTTGCCCCCTCTTCGGTGTTGGAGTTCGCTCGGGTTTTGGAGGAGAGGGGTGACCAGTGTTGTTGGGAGGTTTCCCAGAGGAGCCTGCATAAGCAGGCGTTTCTCCGCTGAGATGGGGCGGGACTCTGCCCCATGTAATCAGCACGCTCAGCACCCTCCTGCTCATCCTCGTCCTCCTTTTCGTCCTCCTCCTCGTCCTCCTCCTCCGCCTCCCTCTCTTCCTCCTCCTCCTCTTCCTCCTCCTCCTCCTCGTCCTCCTCCACCTCCCCCTCCTCCTCCTCCTCCTCCTCCTCCTCCTCCTCCTCCTCCTCCTCCTTCTCCTCGTCCTCCTCCTCCTCCTCCTTGTCCTCCTCCTTGTCCCCCTCCTCCTCCTCCACCTCCTCCACCTCCTCATACTCCTCTTCTTCATCCTCCTCCTCTTCGTCTTCCTCCTCCTGCTGCTCCTGGTCCTCGTGTTCCTCATGTTCCTCCTTTTCCTCCTCCTATTCATCCTCCTCCTCCGCGTCCTCGTCCTCCTCCTCCTCCTCGTCCTCCTCCTCCTCCTCCTCCGTCGCCCTTCGCCTCGTCATGCGAATCGGCGCTACAGCGCACGTACGCCAGAATGGTCGATTGGATCAGTCCATTGGTTGTCAGACGGCCAATTTTGCAGGAGCCTCCTGAACGCACGTGGGAGAAGTTAGCATGGTGCGGGAAGAGTCAGGATAACTCGTGGATTCGATCGGCGCTTTTCGTACGGATTCCTTGCCAAATCCTATTTAAAAACCAAATTGTTACCTGGGGACTTCTCCTGACATTTTATACACACCAATGTGTGCTCTGTTGCACACGGTTGCTGAGGTGCACACAGGCGCCACGGTATACCTGGTGCCTAGCGAGACGCTGCGTTCGAAGAACAACCTCACCCCTAAATGATAAACCTGGACTGCTGTGTTGACGTACCTGGAATTTCCGTTCTCGTAACCGGCATTACACAGTTCCGCGTGTCGGTTCGCGTTCAGGTTGTACCACGCCTCTCGGACCTCGGGTAACGTCACATCGAACTCTGGGTCGGCTGCACCACGGGTCGGTGGAGCCGTCGCGGCCGCCGCCGCAGCCATTGCAAAGAGACGAGTGCTTCGGGGAATTAAGCCACGTGCACTGGACACCGTGGGGCCAACCACAGGTTCCGCCACCAAATGTCAGGAGCCTTTATCCCCTGAAGGCAAATACACCTAGCGCCAAACGTAACACGCAAATGGTATGAAAGATGTACCGCACCAGTCACTGCTATACTACAAGCTCCTGACAACTAGGGTGCTTAACAGATCCTCCTCCTCCTCCTCCTCCTTCTCCTCCTCCTCTTTCCTTTTGTCCCGCCCTCCACCCTCCTGCTCGTCCTCGCCGTGCCAGGCCTCCCCCCAATGCACTCAGGGCATGCAGCACGAGATCCACGCAGCGCCTGCCTGGACACCCTTCTGTTCGGCGATGGGTGGGCGGTTGGCGGTCGATGTTTCCTCCCCTCCCTGAGCCTATCCCCCCTGAAACGTCGCCCCTTAGCTTTCGGATCATTGCTCGGCTCTCTGGAGGCAATTCGGGACGATCTGAACACCCCCAGAACGCTCGCGGGGAGGCGCAGCTGCCGGGGAAGGCCGCAGAGAAGTAGCAAAAGCTCCGGAAGACATCAAACCTCGAACACAAAATGCTCCCCCTCCAGCGTTGCCTCTGGCTCCCTCCGAGCCTCCTCCTGCCTTCCCACTGCAATCCCCGGGCGTGCGGGGGCAGCGGGGCCCCCCGTTCGCCAGGCACCAGCGCAGCATGTCCAAGACGGCGTTCTCGGCCTGGGGCTGGGCCGCTCGCGTTGCGGCTGTGGGCCACGGAGCACGCGATGGAAGGAGACCCTCCCTCCCACTATCGCTTCTATCTTTCGGTGAGGGCTTGCCGATGCCTGCTGCACCTCGACTCCCGCTGAAGCTCCCACGATGATGCGCAGACTCATCCGGACATTGGTTCACGTACCTCGATATCAGAGTGAGGGGGCCGAACCTCATTCATTGTCCCTGGGTGCGTGGCTGAATTGAGAATCCGTGGTGAGGATTCTGCTTGTTGCGTTGTTGTTGTCGTCGTCGTCGTCGTCGTCGTTGTTGTTGTTGTTGTTGTTGATGTTTGTTGTCGTCGTCCCCCCGCGAACCACCCCGCGACCCACCCCGCGACCCTCACAGCGACCCACCCCGCGACCCACACCGCGACCCACTCCGCGACCCACCCCGCGACACACCCGGGACCCACCCCGCGACCCACCCGCGACCCACCCCGCGACCCACCCCGCGACCCACCCCGCGACCCATCCGCGACCTACCCGAGACCCACCCGCGTCCGATCCACATTTGTTTGTAGAAAAAAACGGTGCCTGCGGCGGGCTCGTTGCATACTTTGTGAAACTTTGGCGCCTGCGGCGGGCTTCTCCAAAGTCTCGCAGACTGCCGACGTCCACACCGCGCCCTCATTCTTATCCGCATCTGCGGGGTACTACGTAGATGTATGCTTATATGTATGTACATGAGCATATGAGTGTGAGGATGTATGTGTGGATATACGTGTGCATATGTATATGTATATACATAATCTATGTGTATGTAAATGTACACGTATGTTTGTGTCTGCATATGTATATGTATATGTATAGGTATGTGGATTTGTCTGTGTCTATGTCTATGTCTATGTATGTGTCTATGTTTATGTATATGTGTCTGTGTATGTAAATGTAGATTTGTATGTAAATGCACATGTATATGTATATGTATATGGATGTTTATATGTATATGTATATGTATATGTAAACGTTCATATATGTGTATGTGTAGATGTGTATGTATATGTATATGTATGTGTATGTGCATATGTATGTGTATACGTGTATGTATATGTATATGTATATGAACATGACTATGTATATGCACGTGTATATGTATAGGTGAATGCATATGCATATGTACATGCATGTGTATATGTACATGTATACGTACATGTATATGTATATGTGTATGTAAATGTATGTGTAGATGTGTATGTCGGTGTATATGCGTATGTGTATATATACGTATGAATATGCATGAGCATACGCAAATGC